AGGTGGGGTCTCTTCCGGGGTGACTACATCAAGGTTTTTCCCGAGCCAGGTGCCCTAAAGCAAAAGACCGGTTACGGACTCCACATACTTTGCCACCACGACCGTTAAGGTTTCGCACAGCCATCATCGCAAAAGCAAAATGGAAGGCACACTCAGGTGTCTTTGAGGCACGTGGACTTCTGCTAGCTGTCAAGTGGGCCCTGAGGAGCAAGCGAAACTTTAACCGGCGCATCGTGGTGCTCATTGATGCGACGGCAGTCCTGGGCGCAGCCACGAAAGGACGCACGTCAGCTCCAGTCATCCGAGGAGTGCTGCACAAGCTTGCTGCCCGCTACTTTCCACCAACAGCTTGCTACGCCTGGTTTACGTGCCGACAGAGCACAACCGGGCAGATGCACCATCGCGAGGACGCCGACGTCGTCCAAACACTACCCATGCAACGGGGCTTTTTTTTAGGGAGGCCCTGCGCGCGAACTGCGTGCGTGCTTTGGCGCCATCTCAAAAGACGATTTCCGCAACTCCTTTTTTATGACTACGTACTTATGGTGGGGGTTAGTTGCGGTGTGGTCCGGCTTCCAGAGGTCAGGGTGTGTTCTTTTGGTTGTTACTTCTAACCAATATGGGAACTGCATTCCTCTTCTTCTACCCTGATTGATAATTCTGTCCTTATAAGCTGACGTAAAGACTACAGAGTGCATTGGCATATTGGGATCGGCTTGAAATACTTCTACCATGGTTTTGTATTGCTGACGTTGCAGTATGGTTGAGGGTTTTTCAGGCTTACCTGCTACCCGATAGACTTTTTCATTTGGTACCCGGACAACCCGACGCAGGAATCTAAACCAACAGCCATCGATTCTGTGTAGGTCTTTATCCGTGAGGGTAAGGGCTTCGAGACCGTATGTGAGGATGGAGACGAAGGTATTGCGGAAGATGCGTAATTTGGATTTCTGGGGCATGCGGGAGTTCCACACCAAGCGTAGCTTCTTATACGCTTCTTCTGCGAAACTAGCACGATGCATTAGAGCCATATGAAAGGGTTGATGCCAGGTTACCATGGACCCTAAGTACTTAATCTGCGGTGTGGTCTGGACCTTATCCCCGTTACTAAACTTTAAGTTGTGCTTGTCATCGAGGTCTTTTATCAGCAATTCCGTTTTGCTGTTGTTGAGCTTCATCCCGTATTCTGTTGCTATGTTCTCAACTGCCGTCAAGAAGGCTTGCAATTGTGGAATGGTTCTAGAAATTAGGAGTGTATCATCAGCATACTCTAAATCAAATGTCGGGTGTAGTGATGACCATGTGTTGGTAGCGGTACCTTGCTGTAAAAGGGTCTGGTCTATATCAACGAAAATTACCGTCAGGACTATTACAAACAAGTAGGGACTTAACGGGCAACCTTGACGGATTCCAGCCGCCACTGCGCCCTCTGCGGTGTGGTCTGAAGGTCCTTTAGTATAAAATTGAGGCTGCTCATATATGGCCTGAATAGCCTTTATCATTAGAGGGGGGAGTCCAAAACGTTTCAATGCTATGAGCATTGCGGTGTGGTCCAAGGAATCGAACGCCTGCTTCCAATCTAACGAGAGGATGTGTAGCGGTGTGGCTGTCATCAAGGACCACTCCATTGCGCGCCTTAGGATGAATAACGGCTGCTTAGTACCTTTTTTTGCCCTAAAGCCGAATTGTGTGTTTCTTAATCTAGGTTCGATTTGTGTACTCAAGCGCGTCTGTAGCATGGCTGCGTATATCTTATAGATGGTGTTTAACAAGGAAATGGGTCGGTAGTTGGCCGGGTCTGTGTCGGCCCCTTTGCCTTTATAGATAGAGACAACTATTGCCTTAGCCCCTTCTGGCGGTATGGTCCCGGAGTTCCACGAATGGTTGTACAATTCCAAAAGTGTGCGGAGATTTTCATCATCAAGGAGTAACCATATTTCGTTAGGAACCTCATCGGGTCCTGCTGCCTTCTTCTTTTTAAGCTTCTGTAGGGCGGCTTCCAGGTCCAGCATGGTAAAGAGTGGCTCGTTATCCAGTTGACTGTGGAGGGGTGGTCTGGAATCTCTGGTTCGAGCTGTTTCCGGTGGTATGTCTGGCGCCGCCCATTGTTTTTGTTCTAAGTGGTTTTTAAATGCCTCGTGCGTTTTGGACCATGGTTGTGGAACGCCGTCCACTACTAAGTGCTTTTTCGCTCCCACGAATCCCTTCTTCTGGTTTTTGATTGTATTCCACGCGCTGCGTTGTGCCGAAGGGTCCTCTTGCAGCTGGTCGTGTATCCACTTGATCCTGTCTTTTCGGGCTGCTCTTTTCGCCTGGTTGCGCAGTGTTTTGGAATCCTGCTCTTGCGCGGCCTCCGATCTGCGTGCTTTGTCAAGGAGATTGAGCGTGTGATCTGTAATCCACGGTTTTTTGTTTCTGCGGCGGTGTGGTTCAAAGGTAGATTTCGCTGCATTTAAAGCTGCTTGCGCCAAGCAAGTTTGCGGTTGCGCCGGAAGGTTGGTGGGCGCGGCGTACGGTAGCAAAGGTTGCGTGCGGCCACCGGTGGCCTCATCACTGTGTTTTCCCTGTTCCGCCAGACGGTCTGCTTTTTCGTTCCCTTCGGTACCGACGTGTGCCTTGGTCCATTCAATTGTGAAGGTCATGCCTGGTGTTTTGAGAAGTCGCTTGGCGATATAGATCAGCATTTTGTGTGTCTTGGGGCGCCACTTTCCCAAAATTACATTTCGAGCCCACGAGCTATCCGTATATATATATGTACTTGCTGATACTCCATTTCTATGGAGAAAAGAAGGGCTTCTATAATTGCCGTGACTTCGGCGGTATTGTTGGATCCTACATTAGCCCCTAAATATGCGGTGTGGTCTGAGGAAGTGATTACCGGTCCGCAAGCTTCCAGCCAATACTCCCCCTGTGGCGAGCATCAACCCCATCCTGCAGGAGTGTTCCTGCTACAACGTCCCCTAGACCGAGCCGTCGGTGTAGAAACAGATCTTGGCTGTTGGGGGTGGCTGCGGTGTGGTCTGCATTGTACCCCCAAGTATGTCCCTCAACGCTTCGTTAAAGGAGTGTTTTTGTTCTTCCGTGGGATTACTGAGGTTCAGTTTGGGCTTTGGAGGGTGATTTTTAAGGCGCTGCGCTAGTTTTACCTGTATTTCTGTAACTAAGAGGTAATGGTCGCTAGGAAAACCTGTGTGTAGCTTAGACCTACAGGAGTTGATCGATGGGAGCCATTGCTTTCTAGTGAAGGTGTGATCCAGACACTGGAAACGGGTTGGATCCGGTGTGGGATCTGATTGTGGTGGGGGCAGTGGGACATCCAAGGGTAGGAAGGCTCTAATTCTAGAGGCGATTTCCAAGGATTGCCCTGCATCTATATGGTGAATTTTCTGGTAAATCTGTTGCATAATCATAGGATCCAGAACAAACTGACTCCAGTCTGTGGGCGGCGCTGCTTTGTTTCTGTAAGTAATTTGATGTACCGGGTTGGGGGTCTTATGGGATGCTACTTCTACCATGCCCTGCAGTAGCATTGATCGAACACACAAGCTTCTGTTGGAGGATGCGGTGTGGTCGATAAACCTGGAACCCTTCCCGTACACGTACGGTCCTGTAACCCCTTGATCATTTTTATGTTGTGCCTGAAGCCTCACATTAAAATCCCCTGTAATGTACACTGGTTCTGGTTGTGGGATTTTTGCGGTGTACTCCTCCAATTGGTCCCAGAATGGTTGTCGGACTGTTTCCAAATCTAGTCCTGAATGCGGCGCGTAACAGCCTATCAGATGTATCTTCCCTCCTTTTTTATTAAAGCTGAGATGTATTATCCGCGAGTTAACCTGAACCACGTCTACCAGGTGTGGTCTGAGCTTAGGATGTATGATAGCACCTACTCCCGCATACTTATCACGCGTGTTACCGGACAGTATCACCAGATGTTGCTCCGATAAGTAGGAATAGTATGAGGTGCTTCTTGTTTCACTAAGCATGACTACACCCAACCTATGCTCGTCCATTAACTGAAGAATGGTCTTGAGCTTTAGTGTGTCAGCCATACCTTGTACATTCAGGGCCCCAAACCTCAACTTAGAGTTATAAGTGAGAGGCGGTGTGGTCCTGTGCTCTGTAGTCTGTGGCGTCTTTTTTCTTGTCAGCTGTTCCTGCCAATGCAGGCTTTGCCGGAACCACTTCGATCTTGTCTGAGTGGCTTTTGTGGACAAAGTGCGGTGTGACCCCTGGGAGTCCGGCCCCTGAGTCAAGCATTGTTTGTGGTGAGCTCGCCATTGTCGATAGGCCCTGCGACGGGTCCGTCGACTTTTGGCGCCCCTACCCCCCACATTTGCACCACACTTGGGTTGGGAACACTCTTCTTGAATTACGCTTACCTTTGGTAGAACGATAAAAACCGTATGTGCCGTCGTTTTGCCGAAACTTGACCCGACGACCCTTACGCCTATGTTTGGCGGGATGGGCGAAGCCCTTCAAAGGCGGTGTGGACTGGACTTGTAAGCTAGTGACAGCGATAAGTTGAGGAGAATACCGATTAAAACCACAAGTGTCAGGCGTGTTACGTCTTTGTTGTAACATGGTTGTTCTAGAGTACTGGGGTAGGGCGTGCCAGGTTTCAGCGGTTTGGGTGTTAAGTTCGGTAGGACTCTGCACTGGGGTTGCTGGAATGAGCTGGTCTAGGGAAAGCTTTGCCCTAGCGTGGAGGTGTGGACCTACTGCTAGGATGGAGACTGTCGTGTTACCATATTTCGAGTGCATCCTACTATTTTGGGACGCTTCTAGCACTAGCTCAAACGACTTCGCCTGCAGAGGCGGTGTGGTTGCGGAAATCGTTAGCGAATTAAGCTGCCACCAGCCCAAAAGGCGGTGGTGCCTTGAGTGGCGGCCTCTTGAGAAAGTTTCAAAGGGGAGGCGCTCTGCTCAAGCATACACCCAGCGCGCTCACAGGCGGTGTGGCCCAAGGAGGCACTGTTCTGCATGCACGTAAAAACACTTCAGCTGCCGGGCGTTTTGGTCTTTCCACCTCTGCCCTTGCCTTTGTTCGCAGCTTTCGGAGCAAAGATCGGCGCCTGATTGGCCGAAGCAGACGAGTCGCCAAAACCAGGATCCAACATGTCCGCATCCGTTGTGGATTCTGCGGTGTGAGCCGGTTTACCGCCGTAGGTGGCCACTTCGTAGCTGCCTACTTTCTCTCCCGGCTGCCCACACTTATCACAATACTCGTCCCACACATATGCGATGTGGTCCGTGCCTGTGAAATGCAGATTAAAAGGGTACGGGCTGTACGAGGAGTTGTGGAGCAAAGCCTGGGACCAGTGTTTGCGGCCCTTTCCAAAATTCACGCCTTTGCCGGAGGTCTGGCTCTGCAGCTTTGCCGCATTGTAGGCTTCTTTCTCGGCTCTGTCCAACTCCATTTGGGAACCCCACATAACAGAGTTCCACATCTCATTCCAAAGAGACTCCTCCCCTGAGCTGGCGTCTCTTGGCGGGCCCAGGAGGATCTTTGCAAAGTCGGTGTGGACCTCGAGGCGAGCAGCAAAAGAGCCACCCTGCTCCTCGTACCACAACCTCGCCCATGCCAGGCGGTCTGGTCTAAAGTCCCGGTCCTCAGTAGGCTGCATGATCGTTAAGGTTTTCCACAAGATAACGATCTGCTGCCCTTGAGTGTCCGGATGGGCGTTAATCGACGCGATTAAAACTCTCAATGGCGACTCTAACTTACGTTGCCATTGCGGTGTGCAGGGAGACGTCCGGATATGCTTTCCAGGTTGGGGGGTATTGGCATCCACATAAAGTGGCAGGCCGCTCTGTCCCCCATACTTCTTCAAGAAAGCTGAGCGGAGCTCCCAGGAGCGAAAGGTGAGCAACGTCATACCGCTGTAAAAGCCTCCAGCTTGTGGTACTGTTGTCGGATCGTTCTGCAGCACGTTCAGCCAGAATTGCGGTGTGATCGTGTCCGGGTCATACTGTGCATCGAGCTGTCCACGGTTCTGCAAGTACTGGACGATTTCTGGAATCTGGCCCAACATCCACCCCAACATATAAAGACATAAAGACGCTGTGGTGGGGCTAACCCGTTCGGCCAGCCTGTCGTCACAAGCATCATGCCAGAAGCATGTTTCTGGATAGAGCGGTTCTCCGTGACCATAAATTGGAGCTCTTGCTGACACTGAAACACAGAATCGTTGACTTTGCGAACGGCGTTCTCAAGCTGAGCGATCATGCCCAGGACCTCCGGCCTGATGATCCTTTTATGGTATCCTCTGACAAGCTTCATCACTTCTCCTGCGGTCTGGACCGGGGTGTTGTAGAACTGCTCAACCGCTGCCGGGTCGTTGGCATTGACACCAAAATCTGCCGCCACTGCTTGCAGAGCTGTTTGATCCTCCAGAAAAACCGGCTGAATCAATGTAGCTTCCTGCGCCGCTGGCGCTGCGGTGGGAATAGCGGCCCCTGCCGGCTCCTGCGGTGTGGTCAGTCCACTGACTGTTGGGCTAAGCGGTCCGCGCTTGTTGTTGCGCTGCTCCATGAAGAAGAGCTCCTGATGGGCGAGCTGAGGCTGCTGTAGAACTCCAGCTCGAGCTGTTCTGTACTCGTCCAAGGACTGTTGCGACATGCGTGCGGGGTGGTCCTAAGGAGCTACCCTCGAAAAAACTTGCAAGTCGTGCACCATGCACCTGGTCGGCCGAGATGCCTGCAACGGGGCTTTAGACTGAGGGAATTGCCTTACGGTTTGGTTTTGAAAGTCTCGCCTACACTCAGCTGCTGCCATTCATGCACGGTCTGGTGTGTGGATTGCGCCACCAGCTGATGGCAAAGCTGGGCTCTGTGTCGGGTAGTGTGGGCTTCCATGGTCGGTGCCAGCCATGATGAGTCAAGCCACATCTTGCCTGCCGTTGAGGGCATTCCTGTTCCGCGTACTTAGTTCTTTTCGTCGATTTATGGTCGTCAGCCGCCTGGTGTGTGTGTGTGGGAGTAGTTTCTTTGGACCGAGATTTGGCAGCTTGAAGCTGTCGGTGCCGAGCTCAGAGACGGATTCACTACACACAGGTGAGCAAAATCTTGTCGTGCTGACATTTGCCTGAAGCATACTGACACAAGCGCATGTAGTGACAATGAAAGGCTATACTGTTGCTTTCAGAGCTTGCCAAGATGGCCAATGTAGTCCTGAAACCCAATCAGTGCAGGATGGGCCAGTGCTCAGCTGTAACTCGTCTTGCAACTGTCTGCTGTGTCCACACTGTTGGGGCTGAAAGGCCAGAGGCTGTTGCTGGGAGAATTCTCCTTGCCATGACCCCAGCCCACCCTCCCATTGGCAAGGGATTTGTTTCTTTGGACGGGATTTGGCAGCTTGAAGCTGTCGGTGCCGAGCTCAGAGACGGATTCTCTACACACAGGTGAGCAAAATCTTGTCGTGCCGTCATCTGCCTGAAGCAAACTGACACGGCACATGTAGTAACAATGGTCGTTTTGCCTTGTGTTGATGTTGGTTGTGTTGCATTTGTTGGTTGTTGTTGTTGGTAGGTGTTGGTGGTTGGTTTTCGTTGACTTTGATTGATGTTGATTGATGTTGATTGATGTTGGTTGATTGTGAGTTGATGTCGGTTGATGTTGGATATTGGCCGGTTAGTGTTGTCTGCTTTATTGATAGATTGAGGTTGGTTGTTGTTGTTGGTTGTCGTTGATCTTTTGTTGGTGATGTTAGTTTGTGCTGTTTGATTGCCGCAGCAGGTACTTCGTCCATATGGACAGTCTTACTACATCTGCTGCCTCACAGCCTCAGCTCGAGCTCGAGCCTTGATGTGATTGAGACTTGCCCGGTGCCACTTCCTGTGCCGGAGGAATTCGATGATTGAAGCTTTCTGTTCGGGCTCTTGATTAGTCTTTCTGCTGACCCTTTGACCGAGGTTTTGCACGGCTTGAAATTGCTCTGGTGTCAAACCCCCACCGGCTGGTGGGCTGCACCGTGCAAGCACCCTGTTGCTTTGTACCCGCTTTGCTGAGGAAAGAAATCAGGGGCTTGCAAGCTGAGGTAGCAGTGCTGAGGGAGCGGTTAGATAATCAGGCCGCTCGGATCGGCGAGCTTGGGAGTGAACAGGACTACCTTATCGTTGGTGAAGGTGTGGCCGACAAGCCCGTCGAAAGCCACAAGGATCCCAAGCCCTCTGCAAAGGTCCGTCCCTTCAACGAGGAGGGCAGGACTGGAACTTGAGAGGTCGGGTTTCCAAGAAGATCCGGATCTGGCTTCGTCGGAACCTCGTGGCGAGAAGGTGGGACGGTGCCGTCTGCAGAGCAAAGAGTACATCTTGATTCCGGACAAGCAAGCGGTAATCACTACCGAGCCGGCTCGGGTTTTCAAATCGTGGGGCAAGCTGCGGGGCTTGGTTGAGTTAGCGGGTTGAGAAGGTGGGACGGTGCGACCTCCCCCCCGGACTTTGATCGATCTGAAGAGCAAAGCGTACACCGTGATTCGGGACAAGCAGGCTGTAATCACTACTGAGCCGGCTCGGGCTTTCAAATCGTGGGGCAAGCTGCGGGGCTTGGTTGAGTTAGAGGGTTGCTTCGGTGATTCAATCTAAGGAAGCGCTCATTGTCGTTACCCAAGTGGCTTCCGCTGGCCCTCCGAAGTGGAGGGATGAGTGATAGTGAAGAGACGGGAGAATCCGCGGTCATCTCGTCTACAAGGACGCTCGGAGCGATCCTTTGTATCCTGTGAGGAGGGTTGCACTCACCGACGGGAGCAACTTATCTTCCGTCATTTGCCTGCAGAGTTGGGGGGCCGGATCATCGCGGCCGTGCCAAAAGCCAGCTGGCGGAAGGTGGGCGAGAGGAAGCTGAACAAGAGCTACCTACGTCAACGATCCTGACCCCTGCCCCTGAGCAAAACAGCATCTCCTTCGCAAATGCCTCGACAATAGCGGACGACCAGGTCGCCTTACCACCGCAGAATCTTGGCGGGGTAGGCGAGCCTCCTCTGGGCGAGCTCTTCGAGGACGACTTTGGGGAGGGTAGGAGGGGGGTCCAACAGGTCACCCACATCGTCTCGAACCTGACCCAGAAGAAGGCTCAGGACCTGGAGTCCGTTTTGGATCAAGGCGAGTTGGCTTCGGCAAGCGACGGTGGTGGCCTAGGGGAAGGAAAAGTGCGGTGGCTTTGAGGATCCTGACCCGCACCTTCAAAAAGCAGCCCCATCTCATCTACGAAGCCGTGGAGCGGGAGATGAGAAAGGGTTTGGGCATGCTCAGTCCGAGCTCGGGGGAAGCGGCAGTCAGTGCTCGAAACCTGGCTATACAGCAGATCGAAACTAAAAGCATTCAGAGCCACGTGCAATGGTGTTGGCAAGTAGGCCCAGGCGGCATCCTCGATTCGATCATGAGTGGAAACCCCGATGCACAGGCGTGCAGCCGGCAACCAATGCAGTATGCAGTATAGACTAGACGGGGGATCGCAGGTGATGTCTTCTGTCAGGCACATGGCCGAATGCATCCGAAGCGCAAGCCAGTGCTCTATACGATGCGCGGTGGGCCGAAATCTTCTTGGCGGCCTTGCGCGACAGGGAAAGCTTCAAAGAAGCCCGGAGGAAACTCAGCCAAGCAGAAAGACGGCAGCGGGTTCCTCATCCAGCAGCAGCAGTTCCCGGAGATGGGAAGGATCATCCGATGCCGCCGAGGGGAAAAGGCGGCCATGGTATGGGCGCTCAGCCCACCAGTCAGAGCAACTAGGCGGTGCAGAGCCGGGGTTGATGTTGGCTGATGTTGGTTGATGCTGATTGATGTTGGCTGATGGTTGTTGTTGTCGTTGTTTGTTTGTTGTTGTCCCTTTGAACCAAAAAAGAAGCGGGTGGCAGGGCTTAAGGCAAAGGGAAAAGGTAAAATGCACCCAAAATCACAGCTTGCAGATATGACGAAAACTGAATGCAGTGCAAGCACGCGGACAACCCTCGATCTTTTCGCGGATGTGTGTTGGGACCATCTCGAAGAATTCAGACACAGCCTACAGGCAGCCGGAGTGCCGGTGCACTTACGGCAAGAAGAAGGGCTGCCGAAGCCACCAGTTTCACGGCCCCCCTAAAATGCTAAGCGTCTCTGCAGCATTCGTGTCGCGGCATGCACTAGGCGACATTTTGAAACACTGGCAGTGCAGGAGGTCTGCACAACTCAAGGGTGGCGAGGGCGGGTCACAAAATTTCATCTTGGATCCAAACCGGCCACGAATGCAGAATCATTCTCAAGACTGCCAAGCAACATTTGAGTGCAAGTCAACAGCAAGAGGCCACGATGCGGTCAAGTGAAATCAAGCGAAAACTCCGTTTCATTTTGCTACACAACTTTTCCCCCGGCCCACCCGCCCGGCCCAAAACACGAAACAATCCTTTTGGGAAACCCAAACGGTTTGTCCCGCTGCTTGAACCAAAAAGGCAGCGGCTCCCGGTGGCAGGGCTTAAGGCAAAGGGAGAAGGGAAAATGCACCCAAAATCACAGCTTGCAGATATGACGAAAACTGAATGCAGTGCAAGCGCTTGGACAACCCTCGATCTTTTCGCGGATGTGTGTTGGGACCATCTCGAAGAATTCAGACACAGCCTACAGGCAGCGGGAGTGCTGGTGCACTTACGGCAAGAAGAAGGGCTGCCGAAGCAACCAGTTTCACGGCCCCTCCCTTAGCTGAAACCGCTACGAGGTAGTCCCGCCACCCAAGAAACAAATCACCAGCTCGTCTTGTCAAGAAGTTTCTGCCTCTTCGTGGCCTTCGGTTCGTGCCGCTTCAAGTTAGACAATCTGTTTTTCTCAGCCAAGAACTCAGCATGGGAAGAATGCAACATGTTGAACAAATCCGACAAAGCGATTGGCACTCGCAAGTCTTGTGCATAGTTGCCAGTGCGAAGATTCGTGAGATCATCGGCATCCTGGTTCTCCTCGCGCGGGCGCCAAGACAATCGGCACACCTTGTTGGCATTGCTCAACGAAAATGGCATATTGCTGATCCCTTTAGTAAGCACGGCAGGTGTAGCCGAATTGTCCGTGCCAGCATGAACCTGCAGTCGAAGAGAGTCCCGACCTCCCGAAGTTTCAAGATGCCTGAATGCGACCAAACCGGCGTAACAACTATGCCGGCAAGTTGCAAGGGAAGATCTCCAGCGCGAACCACGGTGCCCGGTGCGTGTCTAAACCATGGTCAAGTGACCATCCTCCCAGCACGATCCGCCCGGCCTCGCATTTGGCATCAGTCCTGAAGGCTTGCCTCTCGCATGACGGCCGAGCACCATTCGAAAACTGCCGTCTGTAAAACCTGAGGGCATGTATGACCATTCCTGGTGCCTGGGCCGCCGTGCTCCTGTTCAGAGCATTGCTCCAAGCGAAAAGCGGCGCAAGAAACGGATTTAGCCACGTGAAGAGCCGGGTCACGAAGCTCAGGCGTCCGGTGAACTCCGAAAGCGCCCGGCCAGTGACCACCCAGTTAGCCGCCTCAGCACGATCAACCCATTCGATGATCCAGCTTGCTCGCTTTTCAGACATCCCAGCTGCCCATTCGTGGTAGCTTATGTGGTAGCCAATGTAATCCGCGCAGACGCCTCCCTTAAACTTATGGAATGATGAAAACACTTCTTTTCACGCG